CTTCACTATTATCACAGAAGCAAATCTTGATGGGAGAATCTGGCAATTTTCACACTACCTTCAAATAGACCTTTGTAAAAAAAAAAAAAGAGAGAGGGAAAAAAACCCAAACAGCCAGAATAAGCTACCAGGGGCCTTTCAAGCTTTTTCTCTTTTTTTTGCAGCTCCTTGCCTTCTTTCCTCCCAAGATTGCCCTCTGTGATAATAGTGAAGTTTCCCACCAACATTCAGTGGGAAGTCAAATCAAAGAGGTATGTTAAGCCTCCACAAGTTCTGGACAGGCTAAGCTTTAAAAAAAAGTGGGAAATGCGGTTCAATTTCCACCTTGTCTACTCTGGTGATGTAATTACTTCATTGCCCTGCTCTTGTTGGTTCTTGGTGCCAGAAAATATTTTTTTAAAAAAACAAAAAAAACCCAAGGTTGCTGCAAAATGGGGGTCAGGAACTCTTGCTCTCTGATGTTAGCTCAAGCATTGCCTAATAAATCTACCATAATAGTTGGCTAGCAAGGGTGCCAATCATTCTAACTTTAAATTTCCTCCTCCCCTCCAGCTTAAATTTGTATATGTTTTTTCTTTTGCAGGCTGCTGTGAAACAATGCTACAAATAACTTTCATTTCTGCTTTATTTTCCTCTTTTGGCTTTAATTATTTCAATACTGGCATCCCACCCTACATTCGTAGCTAGGGCCAAGACTTTGATCTGAAACTAAAAATGAATGCCAAAATGTCATATGTTTTCTCTGCACTTGGGATGGCACCGAGAGCATATTGATATGCTACAACAGTTGCATTCTTAGACTTTTGCAGTCTTTGGACCTTCAGGAGTAATCATGGCCAGAGTACATAGAATAGTCCAAAAGTTTGCTATGGTATTTTACTTGACCTAAGAGAGAGGAGAAGGATCAACCTAAGCCACATAAGCCTTCCTCACTGCAAACAGCTGAGCTTTGGGTGACAAGATCAAACTTAACCAAAACTAAGAAGCTACCGAGCATCATCTCACACACAATGAAAACACTCTACTTTTCCATCTAATGATATTACATTAAAATAGATACCTGGCTGAATTATCTCGTGATCGACGCAGCCATTTTGCTACCATCTGCTCTATCCTGCGTGCTTTGTGTGTTTCTAGATCTTCCATTTACCTATGGCAGAAAAAAAACATATTTTATGTATTTATTTACTACATTTATTGAGCTATTCAACCAACTCCCAGCAAATATTCTCCTCCTCCTTCTCCTAGGAGCCCTCCAATTTATATGGCTGGATTAGAGTCTCTTCAAATACTCATGTTTAAATTATTTAGAAAAGCATACCCAAAATGCTATTAAGAAACATATAATAATTTATTAGACATAACAGTGTAATAACAGAGTCATATAGAAAAAAGTCCTCTGGAATTAACATTCTCGGATAACTTTGCAGACTAAATACATATGTTTTTCTTATATATATATATATGAAATTTCTATTAATTTATTTAATTTTTCTATTAATTTCATCAATGTGTCTTTTCCTAAACACAAATCAGATCTCTTACACTGTATGAATCTTTGTAATTAGTTTAGATAATGCAGATAAGAAGTTTCAAAATATATTTAAAGTGTTTAAAATATGGGTATTAGAGAAGAACTGGGGCAGAGGAAGGGGTACAAATCTTTTTCTAAGAAATATCTCAGCTTAAAGAACTATTATATCTACAAAATATGGGAACTGAACTGCAGTCTTCACATCAACCTCCCCATATCTGGTATCATCCAGATATGTTGAACTTCAACTTTCATAAATTTTCAGCTAGCATGATATCTGCACAAAAACAATTGAAAAGTCACTATCACACAAGGAAGACCCTTCATTGGAGAAAATGAGTGGATTTACAAGGAACAGGGAAGCCACCTGAAATTGATTCTGGCTCAGTGGTGGGATTCAGCCGGTTCGCACCTATTTGGGAGAACCGGTTGTTAACTTTCGAAGCAGCTGGGAGAACCGGTTGTTGGAAGAAATCTCCTTTTGTTTTTCCCCCCACTTTACAGGGCTAATCCTGTAAAGAAGGCAGGAAGGAAACATTCTGGTGTTTCTAGCCTCATCTTTATTGCCCTCCTTACAGAAACTACCTCTCCAGTTAACCCTCATGACCTTGTTACCACTAAGGTGAAGTGCCCATCGATGTGAGTGACATTGAGTTGGCCATGCCCACCCAGTCAAATGACCACCAAGCCATGCCTACCCAGCTGGTCACTAGGGCAGAGAACTGGTTGTTAAATTATTTGAATCCCACCACTGATCTGGCTATACAATTTATTAATTCAATCTTACTCATTCAGACTAGCAAAACCTCTTCAGAGTATCAGGTAGAAAATCATCCCAACTTCTAATTTGATCAGGGAACTGAAAACACACAGTATGAGCTTTGCTATTGATTGGTAATTCCCTCAGCAGGAGCTATGCTTCTGAAAAAAGTTTCTGGGATTATTATTCAGTCTTTCTCTCAAGTACACTACTTGCATATTAATATTAATCAGCTAGATATCTTTTGGTTCAGATCACACTTCAGTGTGATTCCATTGCCTGATCTTGAGGACTAGATAGATGGCATTTACTTGTAGTTTTATTAAACCCCTGTACAAATAGGCAGGAACATCCTGGAGTCAAATACTTCCTATTACTCAGATATTCCTTTTAATACAAAACTAATTAATACAAATTGCATTGGATTGCATAATCTTCGTTCTGTTTGTCCCTTCCTTACAGAAATCTTTAAAAGTGGGATAATGCATTTATAGAGAGCCTGTTTGACTTTGACTTAGTGGTTGAGGTGCCGGACTAGCAGTGGAGACACCTATGTTTTATTTCTTCTCTTAGCCTGTTGTATGACTTTGGGTCAGTTACTCTCTCTCAGCAATATGAAGACCGCAATTGTAAACCACTTCCAAAAATACAGCATTTGTCAAGAAAATGGCAGGAACTTGTCTATTAGGTACTGGGAGTTGAGATTTATTCCCTCATCTCCAATATGTATCACTATATAATAGATGCATCAGTACAGAGATTGCTGATGAGATAGATGGGAATATTCATTGCTTAATTGAGAATTTCAGGTTAAAGACAGTACAAGTCTTTTTAACTCATTATCTTTTCTATGCCATTTTCAGATTCATTTATTTAAGGTTGTTTATTATTACTTAATATATCTACAGAAAGCCAGTTTGGTGTTGTGGGTAAGGAATCAGGATGGAAAGCAGGAGAATGTAAGTTCTAGTACTCCCATGGTCACAAAGCCAGTCGGGTGACCTTCGGTTAGTCATTTCCTCTCAGCCATAGGAAGCAGGCAATGGCAAGACACTTTGGAAAAAAATATTATTATTATATTATTGGGGGAAATGGTCACTATGTCCCATAATGCAATCCTTAGTAGTGAAGCGCAGTACCTTGCAACCATGCAATAAGCCAGAAAACATTAATAATGTCAGGCATAGCAAAGAAACAACGCACACGCACACACACACGCACACGCACACACACACACACACCCCTTTAAAAAACCATTTTGGGGTAGTGGTTAAGGCACCAGGATTGAAACTAGGAGACCATGACTTAAGCACAAAACAGCCAGATGACCTTATATATATATAGAAATGCAGCTATTTAATATTAAATTTCTATCTTGTGGGTTGAGAATAAATTTGTACCTAATCAATAATTTCTATATTATATATATTGAAAATGCAAAAGCCACAACTCTTCTACCCATTTCATGTCACATTTTATGGAAAAAGGTAGTCTTCTAAGCACTTTGAAATTCTATCAGTCCCCCAAATTGTAATGAATGCACTAGAAAGAATACCAATCCAGAAGGTTTACCGCAATGAAGACACATTTTCAATAGAGATTAGGCATTTTATGGAGCCAGCCTATGTATTCCACTGAAATAATAAAAAGAACAACTGTTCTAAATCAGTGTTGCATCAGACTGCTAAAAGCTGCTGTCTAGAATCCTTTGACAATAACTCTTCTAAGAATAGTTGGATGTTGTCAAGGAGTCTCAACCCTTGAATTTTAGGCTTCAACCCTCAGATCGGTCATGGCATCACATTTGAAATCAAGCCAGACATACCTGTTCCTTCTCTACCTGGAAGAAGGTGGCCTTCTGGGTTTGACTTATATGCTACAACTGAGCCCTTTTAAGTTCCCATCAAGTTCATTTATAGCTCTAAGCAAAGTTTTAAAAGTACTAATTGGATATTTGTACAGACGTTTCATGAAAGTTTAGCAAAGAAGAGGAACATGGTGGCAAATGATTGTGGGACAAAATGTTCTCTTTCTTCATAAATATTATATACACTGAATCTTTTTTCAGGAAGAGGTGAATACACTCTTTCTAGGATGCTTTGCAAAAGTGAAAAAATGCAGGGTAAATGCATTTTTCAATCTCTCTGTTTCTGTCTCCCTCTCCCCTCCCCCAATCCAGGGCATAATGGAATGGAAACAACCCAATTGTTGCTTTGGAAACTCTAATTAGAAAAGTTGGCAGAATGGAGGATAGTTTAAAAAGGCTAGTCATGACCTTGCCAAAAAAAAGCTGTCATTAAACAAGTAGAAAAAGACAACAATCACGTCTGATTCACAGAGCTAAGTTCATCAAGATATTATTTTCTAAAATTCCCTTGAAATAAATGGGTGTTTAACCATATTTTCACTCAACAAGTCATCAGGAACCAAGGTGGATACCTGACCCAGACTGTCTCCACTGACATAATAATGGAAATGCCTCTAAGGCAATCTCTATTCACTAGGTGTTCTACAGACTCCTGTAATCCTCCTGCCAGTGCTCCCTGCTTTAGAGCATATTTCTAATGACTGATATTATTTAATAGAAATCCTGGTCTTGGTCCTTGGAACAAGAATAGTAAATGTGATGGAAGGATCTGTCAATGAAATTTATTGGTATCCATGGGGGTTCTGTTTGAAACTCTGATTTCAATGGAATCTTTGAAAAAATAGCAATCCAAATATGATTACTGAAATAAATTAAATTCTGCAATAGAGATCATATATTTATGGAACAGATTAGCTTCTATCCATTTTTGTACAGTCAAATGAATTATACATCTTTTTTTAAAAAAAAATACAATTCAGTTCAGTTATGCATTGCCACTCTGGTGTTTTAACGATTCTGAGCTGATTTTAGTAATTAACTCCAACTTCCCGTTAGAATATTGCTTTATTTCATCAGAGAAATTTATTTGTTTACAGTGACAGTTCATCACACCCATTTAGAAGGGAAGGAGAAACACGATGAAGATCATAAATCATATGAACATAACCATTAGTATGACTATAATTACTGAAACCAAGGATACTGTTGCTGAGCACAGGACGCTCGTGAGATATCCCCGAGGCATTTTATACTGAATGGAAATTCAGGGCATGGAGCGACCATATCAACAGTCTTATTTCGAAGTTTCTCAGTGACTGCAAAAAATCAGATCACGAGGCAATGGAATGGCACTAACCCTTTTTGGTCATTCCTATCCTGATGTAATCCTAACAGATGGGAAAGAAAATCAGATTGAACTTGTCATTTGTGACAATGAAATCGGACTGCCTGTTGGCTGCAGCTGACACACTACACCTGATCCAGTAATATGGGAATCACTCAATATTAGTGGTTAGGGAGAGGACACCTGATCTTCCTGTTTGGACACCATAACGGCAGGCTGATTGTTTTTGCTGTGATGTTATAACCAATATATTTCTGTGATTTATGGTTTCATGAGGCATCGAACCCACTGTATTCTAACTCGAGTTTTATTTTGTGATAAATTAACCTGCTCTGCCTTTCAACCAAAGAAAATGCTCAAGGCCACTAATAATAATAATATTTTTTCCTATACATACACAAAAACATTGAAACCCACTGAATTTAACAGCTGAGCTAGATTATCTATCAGTGAGAAACAGAAGCAGTGAAGACAGCCTTTGAGTAAGCTAGAGATAAATAATGCACAACACAAAACTTACCCAAGGCTTGGAAAGAATATGTTCAAGACTATTTGGTAGTCTAACAGGCAAAACCTTCAAAACAAAGGTTCAAGCTAAAGAACGTTGAACACAGGCCTAATCCAACTTGAGCTTTCTCCCACAG